TATGGCGTCAAATGGTTTGGGCACTCTTGCCAGCCAGTCTGGAGTGGGCCTTATGAGTGTTGGCACGTCACCAAGACGGCACAAGAGGGCCCCAAGAGGGCCCCAAAAAAGACAGGACCCGAGCGAAGTTCTACAATAGCTCGAACAAGTCCCCAGGAAGCCCCAAGATGGCACCCGAGTCGGCGCCTGGGGCAGGGAGGGCAGCGGCAGTCCGATAAAGTGGACGCGGGCTTGACATCACGTGGCGATGCAGCTAATAGGCAATGGATATGGCACGAACGTGGGACAACAGTGGCGCTTACACCCTGCAGAGGAACCCGAGATGACTCTCTGAGCGATCGCGGAGCCACGAAGAGCGAAAGGCCACCTGCCATGGTGCGACAGAGCAGAATCGTGAACGGAGCTCGGGGAGGCAAAACGATACCGCTACTCCCAGGGCCTCTCCCGGGGTGCGTTCGGACAAGAATTTTTGAGGCGAATCCAGCGGTGGCGACGAGGGCCTCCCAGGAGGCCGAAAGAGGCGCGAGCGAGGAAGATGTAGCAGTATCGCTACCATCTTGTCCTCCTCCGGGAGCTCCCACGAGGAGGACATGAGGCCCAAGAGGCCACGCGGAACAGCAGCACGAAGCACCGGGTGGCACCCCAACGAGGGGGGCAGCAGCGCACGGAGTGGCACGCGGGCCACGGAGCAGCCGGGTGGAATCCCGAGCGGCGCCCGCGCCGAGGAGCCACGGGGGGGCCACTGCGCAGGAGATACTGAAGACCACGGAGGAGGCCGAGGCGGACCCCGGGACCAACCCAAAACCCAGCGGGGCTTCTGCCCCAAAGGTGCGCCGACGACGAGGGGTAACGGCCCAGCGAGGCCACGGGCCTCCACTCCCCAGGGCGCTCCATGGAGAACTCCAGGGGCCTCGGTGCGCAAACAGACGGGACAGTGAGGGCGCAGCAGGTGCCCACGAGAGACACCTCTCCGTGCGGCCTGACACTGGAGGGACATATACAAGTGCACAAATATTCTTCCTCGTGGGGAGGGACGAGGAGGAGGAGGAGGAGGAGGCAACACTCCGAAGAGACGAGGGCAGGCAGGCATGAAGAGGACGACAAGAGGGCAACAAGTTCAAGAGTCATCATCATTCCTCGACTACCTTAGGGAAACGAACTCTATACACCGACGCTCTTTCCGACTCTGCACTGAAATTCGCACGGGAACGCGGACGCTGGTGTATACGGGATCCTGGTGTATACATTTTCGTTGCTTCCCTTGGAAAACGGGGAACTAGTATACACCACGCCACCCCGACGTCGTCCCCGACCCTCAAAAAGTCATGGGATTGGAAAAACAACCCGCCACTGGTGATGTATCTGTTCCAATTTCCGATACCTCGCCTACGACAGCACAGGAGGAGGAGGAGGAGGAGGAGGCGGAGGAGGAGGAGGAGGAGGGGGAGAGGAGGAGGAGGAGGAGGAGGAGGAGGAGGAGGAGGAGGAGGAGGAGGAGGAGAAGGAGGCGCGGATGTCTTGGATCGGCGCTGGACCCCCCCCCCCTTCGCCAAAGCGCGCGGAGCGCGCCGGGGACGGCGCTGGGAGGCGCCGCCAGGAAGCCCTGCGCCGACCCGAGGAAGCCGCGCGGAGCTCTGGAAGGTCACGCGTCGGCAGTTCGTCTCGTCGTGACCGTTACGATTCTTGCACATCGTACGGTTCGCATTAGCATTACGGAGGTTGCTCTCTCAGCACGGCTCGGCTTCCTCACATGAGCGAGAGAGAGAGAGAGAGAGAAAAAAAAAAAAACAAAAGAGAGAGAGAGAGAGAGCCACACACACACACACACACAGGCACACGCACACACAGGCACACACAGAGCATCTGCGGGGTGGCTGTGAGGTCATTCTCGGGCAGCTGCCAGGTCGCTGCAGCGAAGGCACGGGGCAGCTATATCGTGGCTGCAGGGCAGCTGCGGGATAGCGGCAAGGTGGCTCCAAGGGAGGCTGCGCCGCGTCGATGAGGTGACAAGGAGGTGTCTGAGGCAGTTGCGAGGCAGCTCTAAGCATAACCTGAAGCCAGGTTTGGCCATGGCCAAAGCGCCAATATGAGCGCAAAGCGAGTCGCCGCACAAGCCCTCTTTATCCGACAGGCCAGAACCCCCAGAGCAAAATTGTTCAGAAGTTGTGCGCGCGGGCCATAAGAAGGAGTGGGGAGGATGATAGGTGGTGGAAGGGAGGAGAGGAGGGGAGTGGAGAAGAGAGGGAGTAGGAAGGGGTAAGGGGACGAGACCAGGAGGAGAGGCAGGCTGTACTTGCCCAGCTTCGCACCCCATGGGGGCCGACACCAACGGCAAACTGCGAGGACTTCGTGTTGCCTTTGGTGCACGACTGCCCCGATACTGCGCGACTCCCCCCGGTCCGACTTTGCCCGGCCCAGCTTCTCCCGAAGACGGACGAAGCTTTCCCTTTCCACCCCCAGCTCTCAAGCACCTCAAGGACCTGATACAGCTCCCCAGACGCGGGTCCGAGCACATCTTCCACAGCTTGCCCAACTTCTGGGCCAAGAGGTCTATGCTTGCTGGCGACCTGCATTTCGCGCGTGTAATTTACGATATTCTGCCTTTCAACTCACACCCTGCACCCGCCAGGCGCGCAATAGTCAGGTACACGTCTGCCGCAGCCCCCGTCACATGCGCACTCTCCCCCCATCTCTGGCGAGCAGAACAGCAACAACTTGCTGCTCAAAGCTCTGCTGCAATCGTGCCACTTCTTGAGCAGCCCCTGCATTGAGGAGGCACCAATTGTCCTCAGCGCACGTCGCCATGCTCACCACCAGGCCCTTCCAGCCCGTCTGACGCCACTAGCCCTGCTCGTCAACGCCGCCCGTGATCCCAGCCCCCACCACGCCCCGCCAGGTCCCTCCAACCCTGCCTGCCGCCACCGCCAGCTTCTGCCACGAGATCCCACCAGCTCCTGCTCCGCATCATTCGCTCTGCTTGCCCAGCTCCAGTGCTCGCCGCCAGCCCCAGCTGCCCTCTGGCCAACCCCGCTGGCCCTGACTGTTGCCCTCATGCCCGCTGGCTGCTAGGAGCGGCCTGCCACACCCACAAGCCTTCCTCCCCCCTCTTCCCCCTGTTCCCCTCTTCTCCCTGTTGCTAGCAGCGGGCTACGTAAAAGTAAGTGTGCGGCGTCAAAAGTCAGAGTCATATGCAAGAGAACGTGCCATAGAAGTGTTGGCATGGTGGGATACCAGAATTGGCCACATCATACCAGTGCTAACCACAAGACCACCTTCTCTCCCCAAATCTACAAGCGTGAAGCGGGACGACTGTGCAAACTGCTGATCCAGAACGCCCCTGAACTTGGCCTCAGCCGAGAGCATCACCTGTTGCAAGAAGGGCACTCAGGGAGTATCAAGTTCGTAAATGGATGAAGGGGATTGGGAAACATATGACAAAGACAAGGTTTAAACGGTCATGCTGAAAACGTGTCGATTGGGAGAAAGAAAAGCATACCCAGGGTCGACCCCATTCAGCAAGCCGAGCAACCCGAACACCGACACGAATGCAACTCTGTGCCTCGGATCCTTTTCGCGTGCGCCCGGGCAACGCTTGTGAAACAGACACGCACTGCGACTTACCCAGGGTGCAGCGAAAGAGGAAGGAGGACGAGGAGTAGAAGAAAGAGGAGGGGAAAGCAGGCATGCAGGAGGGAGCAGGGGGAGGGACACAGGGGGTGAAGGGATTGGGAAGGAAGAGGAAGAGGAGGAGGAGGACGACGACAAGAGGCATGGCAGAGATCGACCTGGATAACCATGAAAAACCCCAGAGGTCCACCTGCCAGCGAATCCCGTCTGACTTTGTGTTTTTGCATGGCTGGTACGTGTTTGGATGCCTCTCTGAACATTGCCCCGCCGTCGAAGGTGATGTAGAGAACACAAATGAACACACTACCGCCCTCTGGTTTGAAACGACCCCCGAAACAATAGCCAGACACGGGACGCTACATCTTTCAAGAATACTAAAGCCACCCTCAGTCGCGGCCCGACCGATGAGGCGCGCAATCGGTCACTCCGCGGGGTCTACCGTCCAAAATATGCCCCCCAGGAGGCCACTATCGTGTCGGGAGCATTCAGGAAGCCAAACATGCGACATTCTATATCACGTGACTTACAAAAATGACGCGTCAGGCGGATACTAGCGCTCACGGGCGGAAGGACCAAACGCGCAAGGTGAACGAAAGATCAGCGACCGATCCCAAGACGCGCACCCTTTGATCATGAAGACCTACAGGCTCCAAAAAACAAGACGAGACATCCGCATCGCGCCAAAGCCCGCTCCGTGCTGGAACGGGTGGAATGCGTCGCAGCGCTCAGATGAAGAACGCGTCGAAGTGCTATGTCTGGAGTTGCAGATCGAGACAACACCCCCAGAGACTCTGGCACATCCCGCGCGCGGCCGCTTATTGCACAATTACGGTGGCAGCAGGACCATGATAGAACCCTGAAAGCGCCTGGGCACTGCACTTCGCAGGCCACATTCCAACATGGCATGTCGACTCGAACGACAGCTAACCCTCATGCCACCCGACACATGCTCCTGCTCCGCACCCATGAGCCGCTGCTGCCGCATCGCATCCGGCCATCTCGGGCCCCAGTATGCCCGCACCACTGGCCATCGCTCGGACGTCCATTCCCTGTGCTTTTTTCGGTTTCGTGCGTGGTTTTTTCGCCAAATGGTCGAGGATGCTCCTCGATGGTCCTCGCCGAAGGAAAAATGCACACGTCCGAGCGATGCCCGCACCAAGAACGGCCACCCTTACGCGAAAGAACGGGCCACTCTGGCGAAAGAACGGCCACCCTTACGCGGGTCCGACTTTCGCCGCCCCCTGCGCTCCCTTCCCCGGCGGGCCCGCCGCGCCCTCGGCTGGGCCCGCCCTCTGCGCTGCGGCCTCCGCCCCTTCACCCCGCGCCGGCCGCGCCCCGCCGCTCCCCCCGCCCCTCTCGCCGTGCCGCTTTCGGGGGCGAGCCCTGCGCGGCGATGCGAGGGAGGTCTCGTCGTCGTCGTCGTCGCAGTGCCTCCTCCGTCCTCCGTCCTCCTCCTCCTCTTGCTCCTCCTCCTCCTCCTCCGCCTCCTCTTCCTCCTCCTCTTCCGTCCTCCTCCTCTTCCGTCCTCCTCCTCTTCCGTCCTCCTCCTCATCCTCCTCATCGTCATGATCGTCATCATCGTCATCATCATCATCAGCAGCATCAGCAGCATCATCATCATCAGCAGCATCATCATCATCGTCATCATCAGCATCATCAGCATCAGCATCAGCATCACCATCAGCATCAGCGTCAGCATCATCATCATCAGCATCAGCATCATCATCAGCATCAGCATCAGCATCAGCATCATCATCATCATCATCATCATCATCATCATCATCATCATCATCATCATCATCATCATCATCATCATCATCATCTCATCATCCCTCTCCTCCCCTCCTCTCCTCCCTCTTCTCTCCTCCTCTTCTCTTCTCCTCCTTCCTCCTCCTCCTCCTCCGCCTTCCCCTCCTCCTTCTCCTCTCCTCCTCCTCTCTCCTCCTCCTCCTCCTCTCCTCATCCTCCTCCCTCCCTCCATCTCTCTCTCCTCCTCCTCCTCCTCCCTCCTCCTCCTCCTCCTCTCCTCCCTCCCTCCTCCCTCTCCCTCCTCCCTCCCCTCCTCCCTCCTCCCTCCTCCCTCCTCCTCCCTCCTCCTCCTTCCTCCTCCTCCTCCTCCTCCTCCTCCTCCTCCTCCTCCTCCTTCCTCCTCCTCCTCCTAACTCCGTCATCATCCGTCCTCCGCCCACCTCATCCTTCTCATCCTCCTCCTCATCCTCCTCCTCCCCCCCTCCTCGTTCTCATCTTCCTGGTCCCTCTCATCCTCCTCATCCATCTGGTTGTCCTCGTTACTGCTGACATGGTCGTCCGTTCCTCGCACGTCACTCTCATCCCGCCGTTCCTCCTCCTCCTCGTCATCATCAGCATCGCAGTATTATTCAGCGCCATGGTGATCATCAGCATCATCATCATCATCATCATCAGCAGCAGCATCATCATCATCGTCATCATCACCATCATCATAATCAGCATCACCATCATCAGCATCAGCAGCATCAGCATCAGCATCAGCATCATCATCATCATCAGCATCATCATCAGCATCAGCATCATCATCAGCATCAGCATCATCAATGTCATCATCATCATCATCGTCATCATCATCATCATCATCATCATCATCATCATCATCATCATAAGCATCGGCATCATCCGCATCAGCAGCATCATCATCATCATCATCCGCAGCATCATCATCATCATCAGCATCATCAACATGATCAGCAGCAGCAGCATCAGTATCGGCATCGTCATCATCATCAGCATCATCATCATCGTCATCACCACCAGCAGCAACAGCAGTATCAACAGCATCATCATCAGCAACAGCATCAGCATCGTAATCATCGATATCATCATCAACAGCATCAGCATCAGCATCAGCATCATCATCATCAGAAACAGCATCATCAGCATCAGCATCAGCATCAGCATCAGCATCAGCATCAGCCGCAGCTTCGTCATCATCATCAGCATCCTCATCGGCATCATCATCATCAGTACCATCATCAACAGCAGCAGCATCATCAGCAGCATCAGCATCATCATCAGCAGCAGCATCAGAATCATCAGAATGGTCATCATCATCATCAGCATCGTGAGCATCATCATCAGCAGAATCATCAGCATCGCCATCAGCATCATCAACCCTTCTCAGCATCAGCATCACCATCACCATCACCATCATCAGCAGCATCAGCATCAGCATCATCATCAGCATCATCAGCGTCATCAGCATCATCCGCATCAGCATCACCATCGTCGTCATCAGCATCCTAATCATCATCAGCATCGGCATCATCCGCATCCTCATCATCAGCAGAATGCTAACCATCATCAGCATAACAGCATGGTCAGCATCAGCATCAGCAGCATCAGCAGCAGCATCATAATTCGTATCATCGTCATTCTTATCATCACCATCATCAGCATCATCATCATCACGATCAGCACCATCAGCATCACCAGCATCATCATCATCAGCATCCTCATCGTCATCGTCAACATCATTCTCGTCGTCGCCATCGTCATCATCTTCATCAGCATAGCCTTCATCATCAACAGGATTATCATCATCAGCAGCATCCTCGTCATCATAATCATCATCATAAGCATTATCAGCATCAGCACCATCCGCATCATCACCATCATCATCAACAGCAACGTCATCATCAGCATCACCATCATCATCATCAGCAGCAGCATCAACATCATCATACTCACCCTCATTATCAGCATCAGTATCACTATCAGCCGAATCAGTATCATGATCATCATTATCGTCATCATCATCGTCGTCATCATCATCTGCATTATCGTGATCATCATCATCGTCATCATCATCACCGTCATCATCATCATCATCATCATCATCATCATCATCATCATCATCATCGTCGTCATCGTCCTCAGCATCATCATCATGATCATGATCGTCATCATCACCGTAATCATCATCATCGTCCTTAGCATCACCATCATCATCTCCCACACCACCGTCACCACCAGCATCATCAGCAGCAGCATCAACATCAGCAGCAGCATCATTAGCAGCAACAGCATCAGCATTATCATCATCATCGTCATCATCATCATCATCATCATCAGCATCGTCATCATGATCATCATCATCATCATCAGCATCATCATCGTCATCATTCTCATCCTCGCCCTCCTCATCATCATCACCATCATCAGCAGCAGCATGATCATCAATATCATCATCGTCGTCACCACCACCACCATCACCATCACCATCACCATCATCATCATCATCATCATCATCATCATCATCATCAGCAGCAGCATCATCACGGCTCTCTCAAGCCTGGGGGCACAAGGTGTCACACGTGACCGCCTCCCGTGCCCCCTCGAACAATCGCCACCCATAATACTGAGCTAGCGCGGTGTCATGACTTACCACAGGCAGCTGGATATATACGTATGTATATGCATCTGTGTATCTACATGTGTACGTGCAGATGTGCATAGTTGTGTGTGTGCGTATGTACGCATGTATAGATATACATATATACAGAAACATGTACGCACACACACATGTCTTGGCGTCGCGGCCACGTGCGCGGCAGCGTGGCGTAGTAGGTAAAGGTAGGAGGCGCGCGCTGCCGACCCAGTTCACACGGCGTGAGGACACTGGACACACACACACACACACACACGACCACACAACAACACACACACACACACACACACTTGTTCAGCATAACACCGCGTAAAAGCATACACACACAATCACAAACACACGTGCAAGTGTATCCGCCGAACCTTGGGGGGGGGGGGGGAAGAAGGCGTCTGAGAGGATTGGCTGTCCCCCCTCCCCGGTGTCCCCCTTCCCGGGGAGCCACAGTCCCACGAGAGGGGAGGGGGGTGGGGCGACGAGCAACGCACCTCCTGGGCCCCCCGGGCCTCCAAATGCACCCTCCGACGCATCAAACACAGAGAAGATGCTGTCTGAGGCCACAAGAGAACCCCCGAGAGGGCCGCACGATGCCATGATTTTCACAGTGTGGTGCGACCTGTTCGCGGCCTCGCCTCTTCGGGCTTCTGAGGCCCCAGGCGGCCCGCAAGGCCCCCCAGACCAGCCGAAGACGGCCCAAAAGGCCCCCAAGAGGGCCCAGAGACAGCCCAAGAGAGCCCCACGCGTGCGAATGTATGCACATGCTCGCAATGTGTATCTATATTGATGTGTGTATAATTAATGATAGAGAGAGAGGGTGAGAGAGAGAGAGAGAGAGCGAGTCGTCGGTCCCCACATCCGCAAAAAGAACGATCCGCCACAACTCGTCTTCTGGCAGGGAGGCTGGGTCCTGGGCGCCCCGGATGTGTTCGCGAGGGCCCCAGATGACCCCAAGACGGCCCCAGAGGAGGCCAGAAGGCCCCACCCACGAGGCCCCGAAGGGCCCCCCCCTAGACGGCAAAGGCAAGCCAAGGACGACCGAAGATGGCCCCGGGAGGGCCGCTAGTCGGCCCAGCGGGCCCCCAAGACGCTCCCCTAGAGGGCTCTCGAGAAGGCCACGAGAGGCGACAAAACAAACGTTCCTCAAATAGTGTGACGGCTTCAGCATACTCGCCTTTTCGCGAGAACACCAAATGGACTACTATGGGCGACGTCAGCGTATGGACGTTTGTCATTTGTTTCCCTGCCCCCCTTCCCCCCTCTTTCGCCCACCCGTCTCTCCTTCTTCCCATGCCTTCGCGCTCTTGCATATTCCGCTGAGCGTGTTTGACTCAACTTGCACAGGCGTCCGCCTTGGATGCACGGCCACAGTCAGTCAGTCAGTCGCCTTGTTAGTCTTCAGAGCGCCCGAGACGGCCCAAGAGGCCCCCAAGATCGCCCCAAGAAGGCCCGAAAGGCCCAAGAGAAGCCCACGAGGGCCCCAAGAGGGCTCCAAGGATAGCTCCCCCGAGACTAGAAAGCCTGAAGCCCACAACTCAGGCACGGAGGTGGGCTGACCCGAAGGCCACCAGATGAAGGATACTGATCAGACAACACTGGGACCGACACATTGGAGCACCACACATTGGACGGATGCGCATGCCAGGTAGCCACTGGATGCTCCCTCCACGAATACGGGTTGCAAATGGGTGCCCAAGCACAATCGCACGCGCAAAAGCAAGAGGCTCAAATGACGCCGCAAACTTCTATGTATATTAGAAACCTGCTGGACTCCGCATGCATTGACAGCTTGATGTTTCATCTGGGTTTTACGAGTGCACCTGATCACACACACACACACACACACACACTGATCCAGGTCAAAAATATGACTACGCTTTCTCAGAAGCCCACTCTTGAACATGCTACACCAGTTGTCCCCGAAGAGGCAGCACAAGGTGCAGGACGGGCGTGTCCTTGGTCGGCAGCGGCAGCGTCCTCCGCTTCGATGCTGCATGTCAGTTTGCGACTCAAGCATCCTGTGTTGCTGACCTTATGGGCCGCTTCCTAAAAGCTCTCGCTATAAGCACCCCTGCTCGCGTGACTGCACATACACATGCAAGCCATCGCCCAACACAAAGACGCCTTCCTACTGCTAATTCACGCTGCATCGACCAACGCTGCAGGGTGTGCGCCGTGACATGATGGGAACACCGCTGGACAGGCCGGGCACGCCACGCGCAATGCCGTCCACGGGGAAGCGCCCAAGGGGGGAGGAGAGAAGGGCAGAAACTGTACAGGAGAGCAAGTGCATGCCTGGCCAGCCGCACGTCGGAGTTTCGGCGACGCGACCCGCAAGCATGAGCAACAGCCCACTAAAAAGAACTGCTGCCAATAAATCACTCAAGACGGAGGGAGGAGGGAGGAGGGAGAAGGGAGAGAGGAGGAGCAAGGAGGAGGAGGAGGAGGAGGAAAAGGTCGATGATGCTGAGGAGGAGGATGAAGTGCCCGAGCAGGCGCTACGGGCACGGGTATTCACAATTAGCCTGGCGAAGGACCCGACCATATGCAGTTGTGAGTACCGTCTTTGTGAGCAACGCATTCGGTGGGGTTCCCTATAGGGCCACGAAACGCTGCCCTGGGTGCGGGAACCGCATGCGAACACCCCCACTGGGGCCATCGGTGGAGCTCCCCATGGGGCCACGAAGCGCTGCCCTGGGTGGGGGAGAGCATGCGGGCACCCCCACTGGGGCATTCGGTGGAGCTCCCTATGGGGCCACGAAACGCTGCCCTGGGTGGGGGAGAGCATGCGGGCACCCCCACTGGGGCCTACGGTGGAGCTCCCCATGGGGCCACGAAACGCTGCCCTGGGTGGGGGAACCGCATGCGAGCATCCCCCACTGGGGCCTACGGTGGAGCTCCCTATGGGGCCACGAAACGCTGCCCTGGGTGGGGGAACCGCATGCGAGAGCAGCCACTGGGGCCTACGGTGGAGCTCCCTATGGGGCCACGAAACGCTGCCCTGGGTGGGAGAACCGCATGCGACCCCCCCCCCACTGGGGCCTACGGTGGAGCTCCCTATGGGGACACGAAACGCCGCCCTGGGCGGGGGAACCGCATGCGACCCCCCCCCCACTGGGGCCATCGGCGGAGCTCCCTATGGGGACACGAAACACTGCCCTGGGTGTGGGAACCGCATGCGAACGAATTCCCCCACTGGGGCCTTCGGCGGGGCTCCCCATGGGGCTACGAAACGCTGCCCTGTGTGGGGGAACCGCATGCGACCCCCCCCCCCACTGGGGCCATCGGCGGAGCTCCCTATGGGGACACGAAAAGCTGCCCTGGGGGGGGAACCGCATGCGACCCCCCCCCCCCGGGGCCATCAGCGGAGCTTCCTATGGGGCCACGAAACGCTGCCCTGGGTAGGGGAGCCGCATGCGCCCCCCCCACACTGGGGCCATCGGCGGAATTCCTTATGGGGGCTGCCCTGGGTGGGGGAACCGCATGCGACCCCCCCCCACTGGGGCCATCGGCGGAGCTCCCTATGGGGCCACGAAACGCTGCCCTGGGTGGGGGAACCGCATGCGACCCCCCCCACTGGGGCCATCGGCGGAGCTCCCTATGGAGACACGAAACGCTACCCTGGGTGGGGGAACCGCGTGCGACCCCCCACACTGGGGCCATCGGCGGAGCTCCCTATGGGGCCACGAAACGCTGCCCTGGGTGGGGGAACCGCATGCGACCCCCCCCCCTGGGGCCATCGGCGGACCTCCCTACGGGGACACGAAACGCTGCCATGGGTGGGAGAACCGCATGCGACCCCCCCCCACACTGGGGCCATCGGTGGAGCTCCCTATGGGGACACGAAACGCCGCCTTGGGTGGGGGAACCGCATGCGACCCCCCCCCCCACTGGGGCCATCGGCGGAGCTCCCTATGGGGACACGAAACGCTGCCATGGGTGGGGGAACCGCATGCGACCCCCCCCCCACTGGGGCCTTCGGTGGAGCTCCCTATGGGGCTACGAAACGTGTGAGAGGTGTGCCGAGAGCAGAGGCAAGGAGGGGGAGGAGGGATGAGGGAGGGGGCAGCGGGAGGAGGAGGAGGAGTGAACGCGGGGCACCGTCTCTTCAAAACGAGGACCCAACACTACAGGATGGTTAGGAAGAAAACGAACCAGCGAAGGGCGGAGGGACGGAAGAGACGGGGGAGGCCAGGAACAGGAGTGGGGCAGACGGCTCGTGCAGGCACGTCCCTGGAATCATCCGCAGAATGATCCCGCACGAGCATCGCCAAAACAGTGCTGGTCACATTCGCGCACGCATCCGTGGCTGCAGCTTTCCCCGCACAAACCTGTTGCTAGGCCTTCCTCGACACCAAAATCCATTCGCCTCGCGACGTGCTTTGCTTCTGGCCACTGCTATCAGGGTCATCCTCGTGTCAGCCTCCGGGGCGAGTCGGTGTTCACTCAAAACTTCCAGGAGGCACATGGGCGTGAGCACATGCGTGCATGTGGCGGCACTCTTAGGGGTTCTCTCCTATGCTGCAGCACTGGAAAGCCCTTGAGAGTTCGGGTCCGCCCGACCCGACTCGCCCGACCCGACCCGCCCGTTAGGGTCCGCCCGACCCGACCCGACCCGACCCGCCCGTTAGGGTTCTCGCATGCCAAGTGCGCACGCACCATACTTTAATGTCCCGCCCGCCCGACCCGACCCGCCCGTTAGGGTCCGCCCGAGTGCTGCAGTCCTGGGTGCTGTCGTGCAGGGGCCGACACGTGAAAATCTCAAGGGCCCAGAGAGAGCGGACGTCCCGAGAGATCAGACTGCCCGCGACGTCATATGCGAGCGGCATTTAGCAAACGTTCGGCATGTACCAGAAGACGCTCGGAAGTCAATCACGTGTGACAGGGGGGGGGACTTCTCAGAAGCCCTCGCGCCTTGCGATAAGCTTCGTTTGTGTTCGGGGAAGGCTCAGACAACTTCTTGGAAGGCCGGGGGGGCCTCCGGGCCCTCTGAGAAGGCCTTCTCCTTCTGACTTCCCCCCAGGCTCGCGGCCGAAACATCGGACTCCTGCAAAAAACACTGTGCGCTCTAGCCCTCGGCCAGCTAGCTGCAAGCGGGGACCAGCCGCCCCTTCCCTGCTGGAACGCGAGCAGCAGGCTCGAGGAGCAGGGGGCCGTTATCCCGGCTCCCCTCCTCTGCCCGCCCAGCTGCCTTCTCGTTCCCTCGGTGCCCTCCCCTCGCCCTTCCCCCTCCTCCCCTCACTTCTCCTCGCCTTCCCAACCCAACTCACAGCCATTCCCTCTCCCCCACCACCCTACCCATCCCACCCCCCTGCCCCTACCTCTGAGGAGCAACGGTAGGGGGGACCGGCTCATGGGGGGCGAAGCACTGAGCTGGAGTCGACAATACATCGCCGATACACCGGCGATGAGCCCTCGATAGCGAATCCGCACGCTCCTGGGCGGGGGTGGGCTGTCAGGCCGCTGCCGGCGGTGCATGGGGGATTGGGGGTCGATGCGTCCCCCCTTGGGCCTTTTTCCCCCTTTGCGTTGCCCCTGACCCTCTCTCCCCCCCGCCTCACCTCCCCGCCCACCACTTTGCTCCCCTTCCCCACTCGGTCCTGCGCGGCGTCCTCGTTCTCCGACTCCGACTCCGACGAGGCCGAAGAGGACGAGGACGAGGATGCAGAGGCCTGCGGGGCGGGGATGGAGGTGGCGAGAGGCGGAGGGAGGGAAGGAGGGAGCGCACCGTCGGCATGATCTCGTCCCTCAGGGCTGAGGGGGAACGTTAGGAGAGGACTCGGATCCGTTCCAGGTTGCAGGTTGCAGGATCTACGCACTGTCAGAAACCAACGCCAGGGTCGTCGCGATACGAACCTGCCGTCCTCCCCGAGCCTGGATCCTCTAACTTCAACAGCGGCAGAGCAGAGGTGGATGAGGGTTCGGAGTCCCGAAACGGTGCGGTGACAGACCGTGCGGTAACCTCGAACTCCCCCAAGACCTCACCGCACGGTCCGTCACCGCACGGTTTTGGGACCTCGGAGGCCCCTGTCGCCCGAGACATCCTCGGAAAGGGACTCGAGTCCCAAAACCGTGCGGTGACCCCGAATCCCCACCGACTCACCACACGGTGTGGTCATCACACCGTTTGGGGGCCCCCGAGAGGGGCAACGAGAAGCGGGGACCGGCACGGGGGGGGGAGGGGGGGCCATCGACGCGGCACCGGCGACACCTCGCCGACAAACCGGCGACAGCTCCCCGCTGTCAGAGCCGCACGCTCCTGGGCAGGCTGGGGCTGGCAGGACCCCTCTCGGCGAGCACGGGGCGACGCACCCCCCCCACGCCGCTTCCCCCCCGACCCCTGCCCCTGAGCGGAGGGGCGCGGTTGCGAGCGACGGGGCCGAGGGGCAGCGCGGGGGCGCCCCTTGGCCTGCCAGCAGGGCGGCGGGGAGGGGGGGGCACAGGCGCGCGCGGCCCCCTCGCCGGGGGCGCCTCCTCGCTCCCGCGGGTGGTCGGCGCCCGAGCGCGGCCGCGGCCACGTGGGCCCTCGCGGCGGCCCGCGAGGGCGGGCCGGCGCGGAGCTCTCGGCGAGGTCGTGGGGCGCAGGCCAGCACCGCTCGGGCGCAGCAGGTGCCCGTGCAGTCGTCGGCGGCGTCCGAGAGACGGCTCGAGAGGCCCCCCGCGCTTGGCCCGCCGAGAGGCGAAGAGAACATGCACGCGGCCGAGCGAGGCCGAGGGGCAGGGGGGTCGAGGGCCCGATGGAGGGTGGGCTGCCCGAGCTCCGAGGGACGAGACGCGGCGTAGGAGCACAGTCTCGCGGAGCTCCTCGCCGAGTTCTCGGATGACCTTCCTGTTTCTCTGCCACAGCCCAAGAGGCCTTAGGCTTCAGCTGCTTCTGCACGACGTTGCAACAAGGGCAGCGGCCTCCCGGGAAGCCTCGTCTTGGATCGTCTCGTCTCTGGGCCCCTCCGGGGGCCAGCGCCGATCCAAGAAATCCGCGCGGAGCTCCCAGGAATTCTGCATGTGCTGTCTTGTTCGTTCTTCGAAGGCTGCCGGCCGCCTTTTTGCTGGACAGATCTCGCAAGCCCTCCGCCGCCTCAAGCGGTGAGCGATAGCAGGCGCGAGCGGCGCCGACCTCGACCCGGGGCGGCCGCCGCGGCAGGGGGGTTCAGGATGGGCCTAGCCAGGGAGCAGTGGATACGTACAGATTTCGTCGCCCGAGGGGTGGGGAAGGGGCTCGGGGCGATCGCGCGAGCGGCGGGCGGCGCGGCAGCAGCGCGGCACCGGCGCGGCAGCGGCGCGGCAGCGGGGCCGCGCGCCTGGTTGCCAGCCTCCTCCGACCCGCTGTCGTGGTCCTCGCGGGATCGGGGCGATATGGTTTTGTCGAGCCAGCGGGTCTTGCCTCGGTTTCGGCGCCCATGGGGGCCTTCATCGGGCCTCGGGCGCGGGATCGGGACGGCATGATTTTGTCGAGCACACGGGTTTTGCCTCGATTTCGGCGCCCGGGGGCCTTCATCGAGCCCGAGGGCCCTCAGGAGCGGATCCGGGGCGAAAAAAACACCCTGGGGAAGCGGTCGGGACTTCCAGGGTGCGAGTTCGAATCAAAGATATCGGCGCCTTGTCGCCCCATGCGCAGGTCGAAGCATGGCCGCGAGAGCATGGGTCAAGAGCATGGGCCGCTTCCCTTCGCCCCGCGGCCGCAGGGCCCGATGGACGGGCACCCAGCACGAGGGGAGTTTCAAGGTGGATCGCCCCAACACACAAAGCAGAAGGGCCCCCATCCAAGACCGAAGCTGCTCTTAATCCAGACCGTCCCGCAGAGCCCGAAGCATCAGGGGTGAAAGGCTTCGGTCTCCAGGCTAGGGGCCGAAGGTCTCCAACCGCTATTTTCGTCGCAGGCGTCGGCCTCCCTGGGTGACTAGAAACGCCGACATCCCAGGCGGTCGTCGAAACATGACACACAAGAGGCCAGGACCCCGAGCTCGGAGATCTCCCAGCTTGGACGTCGATGACCGCAGGGCTGTCGCTCGCGGCTCTACATAGAGAAATATACTCTATACACTGGTTTTTGTTTCGGACCTGTGCTGACACTTGTACAGGGAAGCGGATCCTGGTGTATTCGGGATCCTGGTGTATACATGTTTCGTTGTTTTCCTGGGAAAACGGGAACACAAGTATACACCACACAACCCCGACGTCGCCCCCGACCACCAAAAAGTCATCGGATTAGAAAACAGCCCGCCACTTGTAATGTAGATGCTCCGGTTTTCGACTACATTTATTTCGAGGGATGGGGGACATGGCCTTGGGGCACTCCGCTGCCCCAGAGGGGGCCCAAAGATTGGCGACGGATCTAGCAAGTCCCCCAAGCTCGCTACGCACCCCCCGCTCAGACCCGGTCGGTTACACGGAGGGGCGACCCCGAGCAGGAGTGAGCTTTGGCGCGCGACTTGCCAATCATTGCATGTGGTCACACTTGGCAATCTCGGAGTCGTGCCCGAAGCAGATCTCCTCGCCGCCCGGCGTCTGCGAGGCGGCCCCCCGCCCTGGTCGGATGCCCGGCGGCCTCCTTGGCGCGCCCTGTCCTTGCGCGCCTGTTGCAGTAAACTGAGCCTGCGATGGCGCGGCTGCCGATGCGGCCGCGGAGGACTGCAGCGGGCCGCCTGGCCGACGAGGGTCGGCGGGGCCGCGAAGCGGCGCTCCTCGACCACCGAGTCGCCCATCGCCCTCCGGAGCGCCGCCTGGAACGGCACGCGCTCATGCTGCGCCAGCTGCCAGGACTTCTCGCACACTCGCACTGCAGCACCTGGTTTCAAGGTGGGCGCGCGGCCACCCCGCCCCGCGCGCTCCGCGACACGAGTTAAAAGACGCGCCCCCCTAGCACGCGGTCCAGACGCCCAGTGCCGCTTCGGGCCCCCACCCTGCAACTCCTGCCTGTTCGCGTGGAACTGACCGAGAACGATCGCACCTGCGCCCAAAAGCACCATGAGTTTCGGCAGCGCGCCCGGCACGGCGGGGGCTCGACCTCGACGGCCGCGGCCCCCCTGAACTGCATCGTCCCTGAACTGGACCAAACCCAGATCGGGAAGTCGGAGTCGTCGCCCTCCTCGGCTGAGGCTGCGCCGCGAGCGCATCCGCCTCGAGGCTTTCCCGCTCTATCTCTGTCTGCCCGATCTCGACGCAGGACTTTCCTGACACCTGGCCCTCCTCGAGCTTCCAGAATGCCTACTCCAAATCCAGCCCCATCGCCTGGTGGTCGGCAACGCTCAGCGGCATGACCCCCTGGCGCGCGTCGGCCTCGCCTTCGATCTTCTGACGCCGCTAGATGCGAGTGCGCGCCGCCTGCCACGCGCGCGCCAGCGCGGCCGACTTCGCGGGGGGGCCCACCTGGGCTTCCGCGCCCGGTTCGAGCGCACCCTCGGCGAACGCCCCGACGTCGCCGCCCGAGTTCATCAATCGGCGAACTTCCCCGCGCCCACCACCCCGAAGGAGCGCGGCGGCGCCCGCGCGCTCGGCGGAAGGCCGCCCTTCGCGAGGACGAAGCGCAAGTCCAAATTCGGCAGTTTGAGCACATCCCCCTGCTCAACCTGCGCGACTGCCCTCGGCGGCGCCCCGCCCAGCCGCCCCTCGCACCGGGTCGCGCCGGCGACGCCGAGGGCCAGACGGGGCTGCACTGGAGACCACGCGGGCCTCAGTCCAAACCCCGCGAGCTGAACGGTTGAGGACCGAGCAACAGTTTCCCTGGCCAGACAGAACATCGGCGACGCGAAGCGCGGCCCCGAAGCCACGCCCGTCTGCCATCGAACCCTTCTCAACGGGGCGGCACCCACTCCCGCCAAGGCCCCCCCTCCGCCCGCGGCGGGCGGGGATCCGCGAGCGGGGCGGACGTCGTCGCCGCGGGGGGCGCCCACCGGTCGACGGCGCTTCGGGCCAGCCCCGCGGGCGAGCGGCAGGTTTCCACCTGGGCGCGGCCCACCTCTGCCGAGTCCGGACTGTCTCTGGTCATGCGGGCACGGGCGCTGCGGCGGGCGCCCAGTCAGCGCGCGGGCGTGGCCCTGACCCGCTCGTGCTTGAGCGGCGCAGGCGCCCGTTTCGATGGGTCGCGCGGGGCCCCATCCGCTGCCGGCGCCCTCGCGGCTGCTCCGTCAGGGAGGCGGGGGCCGGCGTGCTCCTGTCATGGGGGCCACGTGGAGCCCGGCGCCGCTGCGGCCACCCCCAGGACGGCCCCCTCGACGGCCCCTTCCGACCTGTCGAAACTGACGGCGCAGCGACGAGCTGCCCGAGTCGTCGTGCTCGATCTCGTCGGCCACCTTCGCCATCTCGGCCGAAATGAGGCGCGAGCACGTCTGGCAGACCACGCCATAATCTATCGGGCCCGGCAATCCGCCGAAGTAGGTCGAGCTCAGCGGCGACCTGCCAATCGCCCAGTCACAGCCCCCGACCTCGCGGAGACTGGCCACCTTGCGCTTCTTCGTGCGCACGACGAGGCAGCTGCCGACCTCCCAGGTGCCCCTTATCTCGAATGGAGGGCTTCTTCTCTCCATCGCCGCCCTGGACGTTCGCCCACCTGCCCTCGCTAGCACCGCCACGTCCGCGATCCGCCTTCGGCACTCCGCGGGGGCGCCGCCGCCACCTCCGGCGGCGCGACGCCATCCGCCCCCCCATCTTCCACGGCGGCCTCCGGGGTCGCTGCCCCGCCCGGCCCGCGCTCGCAGTCCTGGGGGGCCGTCGCCAACCCGCCAGCGCAGGCCTCGAGAGCCGCGTTGGTCTCGGCTGCCACGCCCGCCGTTCCCTGCACCGAGAAATTATTCCTCGGCACCCGCCAGTTCGCCTGATCCGAGACGGCCGCTGACTCGCCCAGCGCCACGCAGGACTTACCCAAACGCAGCACGCCCGCGAAATGCCGCCGAAGCTCGGCAACGACCGCGCGGCATGTCCTCGCGCAGGTGCCCACCCTCCGGCGACCACCTGCCCAAGTAGCCGCGGTCGCTCATCAGGGCCCCCAGTGCCGCCATGACCGAAGGGAACGTCGCCCGCCCCGAATGCTCTGTCCAAAATCCCACGACCCCCATCGGAGAGGAGGAGCTCGACTTCCTCCCCTGTGCACGCCGCTGGCTTTAGGACTCCTGACCCGCTGCCGGTGTCTCGGCAAACCCGGCGGGTTCGCGGACTACCACCAGCCCCGCGTCGTCGCACAAATTCGCCATCTCCTGCCACAGATCGAAGCCCGTCTGGATCCACGCTGGGTCCAGCATGCAGCACTCGCAGGATACCACGAGCGGCAGCTCTGGCATCTTGCGCCCTGCTCCCCTAGTCTTCGCGCGCCCCAGCCTGGCCGTCAGCACTGCAACCACGAAAGGGAGGCGCTGCGGCGGGAGCCAGCCGCGGTCGTCGCAGCGCAGAACCGCCCACACCTTGACGAGGCAAAGCCATGCCACCCCGCGCAGGCACGGCGCGAGGCCGTCGTCCAGCACAAATGCCCCCATGAACGCGCTGGAGAAACGCGCTGCCCTCGTCGTCTGCCCTCCGCCGACGCCGATGAGCACCTCCACGTTCGCGACGACCTGCTGCGCGTCCGGTCGAGCGGATAGCCTGTCGCTCGCATCGACACCTGCTACCCGCTCCGTTTACATCAAGGCGCGTACGGTCAGGCGGGCCACGGGGCCCAGTGCGCGCGCAAGAGCCACCTGCACATCGTCTCAATGGCCCGCACGTGCGACCTCACCGTGTTAATCCGTGCGCGGCCCGCGATGCCGTCCTTCGCCCGCCCTGGATCCACGCAAACCTGCGCCGCCTCGAGGGAGGGCGCCCCATCTCCTCGAGCAGCACACTCTGGCGAGGCTTCCACCGAGCCCACTCCTGCACCTCCAGCCCGCGATGGCTTTCCTCCGCGGCCGCGCGGCACTTCCGCGCGAAACGAACCCCGCCATCGCACGGGCCCCCGGCGGCGGCGGGGCCTCGGCCGTGCCTCGGTCGTCCGTCAATCGGAGGCACGCCGCGGCGTCTTCCAGCATGGCCCGCTCAGGCCAGCCATGACACGCCCTCAGGCGCTTCTGCACGGGCCCCTCAGCCACGGCCCGACCAAGGAACTCTTTCAGCGGCTGCCGCGCTTCCTCCACGCTGAAGTCCGCGGCCTCTGCCACCTGCACGAGAATTCCCTTCGAACTCGGCCTCCTCCGCCTGCTGCGCGAGGCGCGGGCCGAGGAAACCGTACTCATCTAGCACCTTGCTGACCCCCCGCCGCTCTGCGTCGAGGGCGCACGGCCCAAATGCCAGCATCTGCGCACAACTGGTGTTCAAAACCGGCCAAGCGTCTGAGCCCAAGTAGCCACAGGCACCGGGCAGAGCGAGGGGACACACATTCGGGTTGGCACACGGGGGCATGCTACAAAAAAAACGTTGCTTTATCTACACGACTTACAATGTTGGGGGATATCGAACTGAAGACGCAACAAAAAATGCAAACTGTCTCTTCAACTTGAACCAAGCCCGCTAGGGTCCGCGCGCGTGACCTGCCCGTCAGTGCCCGCCCTTTCGCCTGCTTGGAAGCCCGCCCGTCCGCGTTTATGTCCCGCCCGACACGCCCGTCGTAGGGTCTGCCCGTTCGCTTGGTTGGAATCCCGCCTGCCCGCTGTTCTGGCCCGCGCGCCCGACCCGCTAGTTAGGGTCCGTCTAACCGCCCCGCCCGTTGGGTGCGCCCGCCCGACCCGCCCATGATGGTCCGAGTGCCAACATTCCTGCTCGTGTCCCCTCCCCCTGCTGTTAATTTTTTCTCGTCCTCCAACCTCACGTATCACTCCTTCCTCTCCCCCCCTCTCCCCTCTCGTTTCCTCCTCCCCTTCCTGGCCCTCGCCCTTTTCCCCCTCTCCCTCCTCTTTCTATCTTAGGGGGGCACGACAACTGCACGTGACAGGCAAGGCTCTTGCCCCCAATAGAGCACGATCGAAGAGGAAGAGGGCGTGGAGCGAGCGCTTGGGGTATAGTGCGAGCGCGGCCGCAAGAAACCCTCGCAAAGAAACCCAACCCTGAAAACCCGCGCGCGAAGTGCACCGGAGGGGAACCCTGGAGCACTCTGAACGCAGCAGCTCCTTCAACGGCCGCGGGAAGTCGCCGCGCAGCGCGCGGAGCGAAGAAACCCAGGATACCCTGACGAAAAGCATATGGTTTCTTGATGCGCGCCCCCACTGTACACACGGCGGGTTCTGGAAACCCTGAACAAACAAAAAACCTGACCATCTCTTGGGAGTCCGACACTTACTTCCGCCGGCTTCCGCCGGCGGCCTCGCGGTTCATTTCCGCCGCCCTCCGCGGCCTTCCGCCGCCGCCCGTCCGCCGAGGAACGCATGCAGACTCCGTCGATCCTCGAAGCCGAGGCCGTCTCACGTGCCTCCAGACGTGCTGTTGTTTGTGCTGCTCGGTGCCCGCGTTCTTCAAGTGCGGAGGGGGGGTCCAGGGAAAGTGGGGTCGCAGGAGAAGGAGAAGTGAGGCGACTTGGGTAAAATACCACCGAAAATATCACCAGGGAAATTGAACGTCAATGAATATGGGCCAGGTTCCTCGGAGTTCTTAAACCAAGCCTGGGCCGTGTTTGCTGTGAACGCTGAAGGGGCGAACGCGATGAAGAAACTGGCCCAGCTTCCCGGCAAATTGGCTGAGAAACGCTGGCCCATGTGCTTGGGGAGAAAACGTGTTCATTAGATGCTTGACCGCATAAAGAGAAGAAAAACAGCGAGGGAGAATGAGAAGGAGTAAGAAGAGGGTAGAGAGGAGCGCGAAAGAGAACGATGTTGATGGGCCAGGTGGAGGAAGGGGGCCTAAATCATTGTTCGAGATTATACCCGACCCCACTGTGTTGCCTCTGCTGTGCTTCGTTCGACGGTGGAGCGCTTCAACAAACGCTGAGCGTGCGCAGGTGAACATGTGGGGTCGTATAAGTCACGCATGTCTGAGACAGGTGATTGCACATGAAAGTCAGACTCGTCCTGTGTCTTGTCGAGCTGGTCGTTGGATTTCCCAGGCGAGCGGGCGTCGACCTTGAGTAGACTGTGCCGAAAAAGAAGAGGGACTGGTAGCGAAAGCCACAAGCATGCATTCGTGGCGACACCAAGGGTCGGAGACGACAAAGCAGCTGCGATCAGGGGTGGCTTAGATAATCGAGACGCCCGTAGCGTTCATCATCCCTGGATCGCCGCAAGTGTGGCCAACAGGAAATCGGCACGCACTGCGAAGCCCCGCGGAAAACTGGCAGAGACCGCGCGGCAAATCCCCAAGGGCCAAAACTGTTTCTGCCACAGGGAGACTAGTACGAGGCAGTACTACTCTTCCTCGAAACGAAAGCAGCAGAGACAGAAAGCGAGAGAGAGAGAGAGAGCGATAGAAAAACCTATGTACAGATAAAGAGGGGGAGAGAGAAAGAGAGAGAGAGAGAGACAGAGGCAGACAGGCAGCTAGACAAAGAGAGAGAGAGAGACAGAGACGGGAATAGAGCAAGAGAGACAGAGAGACAAAGAAACAGATAGGCAGAGAGACAGAATGACAGAAAGACAGACAGGCAGACAGACAGAAAGACTGACAGGCAGGCAGACAGACAGACAGACCCACAGACAGACAGAAACAGAAGGAGAGAGAGAGAGAGAGAAAGAGAGAGAGAGAGAGAGAAAACAAAAAAAATGGGAAAACACAAACGCGGCATTCCTCGATGTACAACCGTGCCGTGCGACAAGTAAGCATGCACCCACGTGGAAAGCGCGACACAATGTGCCCCCGCCCCGCACCGTCTCCGCATCAGCCTCGTCCTCCTCCTCCCCCTTCCTGTCCCACACCCTCCATTCCCTTTTCCGCCCCCGTTTCCATCCCCTCTTCCCCATCCCCTGCATTTGTTGTCCCCCCCTGTCTCCCTCCCATTTCTTTCCTCAAGCATATTCCCCATCATGGCCATTCCTTTCCCCCCCGTCTCCCTCCTCCATTCCATTCCCCGTTGTATCCCTCACCCACCACCCCTGCCCTCGCCCTGGCCGCTCCTTCTCCAAGAAGAGGCCGAAGATAAACGAGCTGCATGTTTTCGAGCGGAGATACCACGGCGACGACGAGGCTACATCGTTTCCAAATGAAATACCACAGTAAAAGCCATGATTTCGTGCACTCTCTGACGCAGCCCTGCTTGCGTGCACTCGCTTCTAGAGGCGTGCCTGCAACCTCATAAATCCGCTCGTGTGGTGACGCACTTTGCCCGAATGAGGTGCACGCGCAAAGTGCTGGACACCATTGCCCACAGCAAGTCGTCGCGACATCGACCCTGCCTCCACGCGAATCTGCACCGACAGCACGAGCGAGTCTTGCCATGAGCAGACAGAGCTGAAAGATCACGGATGGCGATAGAATTCGTGCGGGTGGATGTTCGAAGGATAAGCCGTGGTGGGGCGCAAACGCTCACACGTTCACGTCGGCGGCTAAGCAAAGGGTGACTGCGCTGACGACGAGAGGCTTACACGGGGATGCCGCCAGAGCGAATTCTGCCATCATGCAAGAGGAGGAGCGAGGAGAGGATGCGGCCGAAGGAAAACAGGGACGGGGCGGGCGGCTCAAGGGTCAGATCGCTCCCCGAGCGTGTGGCGCGGCCAGCCCCGCCGCAGAGCCCGCGGCGGCTGCTGCGTCAGCGGGCCAGGGGCGGCGGGGGGAAACGCTCACACACCCTGCCGCGAGCAATCGAGAGCGCCGGCGAGCGCAGGCGCGACGATCGGTACCGGTGGGACGCGCCGTGCGCGGGGCGCGCGAGAGGCAGGAAGAGGAGAGGACGGCCGCAGAGGCAGAGAAGGGGCAGAGCGCGACCGCCGAGGAGCCGGCGAGCGAGGGAGGCGCAGGCGGCAGCAGGCGACGAAGACGGTGTGCAGAGCAAGTCTGCCCCGAGCGCACGCGAGACGACAGGAGAGCGAGGCGGGCCCGCATGACGAAGCGAGCAAAGAGTGACAAGGTCGCGCAGCCCGCGCAATTTTGACTCGCGAGTCCGTTCGGCCCTCCTTCTCCTCCCTCCTGAACCTCCTCCTTCTTCAACCTCACCGTTCCTCCTCCTCCTCCTCCTCCTTCTTCTCCTCTTCCTCCTCCTCCTCCTCCTCCTCCTCGTCCTCCTCCTTCTTCTCCTTCTCCTCCTCCATCCCTTTTCCTTATAAATGACCCCTCCCTGTCGCACCCCGAGGCGCGTTGATAGGGCGGGCCGGGCGTTTCGCCTGAGACTTCCTCACCACGTATAACCCATGAATGTGTGCAAGGGCTTCACGGAAGGAGGGCAGGCCTCTTTCAAAATGTGACTCACGCCTTAGCGCCGAGCACATTCGGCTGTAACATTGCACGAGCTTCACGCATGAAGGGCGGTCCACTGTCAAAATGTATTTCCCGCCTTAGCGCTGAGCACAGTAGTTTCAAAACATTGCAAGACGTTCACGGATGGAGGGCGGTGCACTTTCAACATGTGTTTCTCGCCTTAGCGCTGCGCATATTCGTTTCATGAGTTCACAACAATTTCAAGGATTCTCACGGCTAACGTCCCCGAAAAGGTGCTTTGGCACGATGTCGGTTTGTCACGGCGCAGCAGTTACGTTGACTCTCGGTGTTGAGGTCCCAGGAATGCTGTACTGGCACGATTTAAGACCGTCGCAAAAGTAACGGTGATTCGCGGCGTTGAAGTCCCAGGAATGGCGGCGTGGTACAAGTCAGGATGTTCGAAAGGTTGTCTTCCAACGGGGCTTCTCCCTCGGTAAAAAAAAGTTCTTGTAGGGGCCTGTGAAAAGGGAACTTGGAGGGATGGTTAATTGCAATATCGTTGGTGAGCCTTGGATTTATCCTCCTCATCCTCCTCCCCATCATCAGCCTCATCATCATCATCAGAATCATCATAATCATCAGCATCACCATCATCATAATCGGCATCATCAGCAGCAGCATCATCATCACCATCGTTATCATCATCAGCAGCAGCATCATTATTATCAGCTTTATCCTCATCATCATCATCATCATCATCATCATCATCATCATCATCAGCAGCAGCAGCAGCAGCAGGAGCATCATCAGAATGCCCCTCCTCCTGCCCATCCTGTTCTGCCTCCAACTCCTCCTCCTCCTCCTCCTCCAACTCCTCCTCCTCCTCCTCCTCATGATCATCATCATCATCATCATCCTCTTCCTCCTCCTCCTTAGACATCCGACGTCATGATTTTACCTCAACGTGGACCCCAGAGGCCTGGACCCCTTCCCCGCGACCAGCTTTTCCATTCCTGGGTCGATGGTTGACGGCACCAGGGCCCCGTGAGACCCCCCGTGAGGCCGAAGGCTCGTGAGCATCGCTTATCCGATCCCCATCCCCACCAGCGTGGCCCCGGCCCCACTGGCCAATTTGCCCCCCTAGATGGGGATGTGGGCCGTTCCCTTCGGGAATCGAGGGGTGTATCCCCAACTGGGGGGTCCATGTGGTGGGGGTCTCGACGGGGATGGGGACGGGGATGGGGATCGGTCAAACGATACTGAGCTCGTGGTGCTCGGAGGGCGGAAGAGCGAGGGCCCTTCCTCCGCCCTCCGATCCCCGAGCCGAGGCGGCGCGGGCGACTTCCAGGGAGACGAGCAGATCGGGAGCATGGCGCCGATACCGGGCGCACGCCGGCCGAGGCTGCCTTCGCCGTCGCTGGCTTCTTGGGGCTCGGGCCCTTGTCCCTGGCGCGGGGCGGCAACGTCGGGGGGGGAACCGGCTCCAGGGGGGAGACATCGAGCTGGGATCGGCGACACATCGCCTATAGAAAGACAGAGAGAGAGAGAGAGAAAAAAAAAAAAAAAAAAAAAAAAAAAAATGAGTGAGAGAGAGAGAGAAGCACCACAACAAATGAAACAGCAAAAACGATAGGGACACCCAGAAATGCCCACCAGCTCCTGCGGCGCCTTCTCCGTGCCCCCCCCCCTCGCCCCCTCTCCTGAGGAGCAACGTTGGGGGGTGACTGGCACAGGGGGGGGAAACATCGAGCTGGGATCGGCGATACATCACCGATAGATTGGCGATAGGCCCCCGATACATATCTGCACGTTCCTGGGCGGGGTGGGCTGTCAAGCCCCTATCGCCGACGAATGGACGATTGGGGGTCGAAGCATGCCCCCCTGAGCCTATCCCCCCTGACGTGGCCCTTGGCGGCGATTCATAAGGTCTGGAGCTTCTGCTTAGCGTGTCGCAGCGGCGGCCCCAGCGACACGTTATGCCCTGCGAGCGGACAGCGTGCCGCTCCGCTCCGCGGGACAGGAAGCTGACAAAAGCTCGGGACGTTTACGCCTTGGGACCGGAGCATGGTGAACGCGCCGCGCCGAAGCGTGGTGAGCCAGAACTGAAAGCGCGACACGCTAAGCAAATGTTCCCCCCTCGCGTCGTGAAATAAATGCAGCGGAAGGTTTTCGGCAATGTGCGGCCTCGGGGGGCCCTTGCCGGGCCCCGGGGCCGTGTTAAAAAACAGCGCGAGACGTGAAAACGGGTCCCTCAGAAGGGGTCCAGACCTCCAGGGATCCACGCTTTCAAAAAAGTACAGCGCCGGGGATCCGGGGAGGTGGGGGGCAAGGGAAGAGGGGAAAGCAGAAGAGGCGGCCCCAACGCGGACGCGCCGACGCCTTCGCCCTCCCTGATCCCATCCTCCTGATCCTCCTGATCCTCCTCCTCCTCCTCCTGATCCTCCTCATCCTCCCTTCTTCTGGGTAGGCATCTCGGAATGTCTCTTCTCGTCAGCCCGCTCCTCCTACAGAGACCCCCCCCCCGGGCCCCCTCTGCGCCCCCCTCGGCCTGTGCTTCTGGGGCCCCTCGGGCCAGGGCTGGAGAGCCAAGAGCCGCCCCGCAGCGCACCGCGTCGTGGCACACCTTACCGGCACCTTGCTCGCTTCGGGGCATCGGGGCTTCGGCAGCGAAGCCTGCGGTCCCAGCAGCGACGCTGCGACGCGTCTCAACCTTGCGACCGGGCCGATCGCCTGGCTGATGGCAGCGCCTTGTCAGATCACACTGTCCGATCACAACGTCGCAGGCCGACCGCGCGGGAAGGCAGCGCGATCAAGAAGAGAGCTCACCCAATCAGCATGCAGCAAAGAACCCAAGCCTCTGCATGCTGTTCCTCCTCTTTGTGTACCGCGGCGTCAGCGTATAAAACTCTGTCATTGGCTATCGTTCATCATGCGGCGATATTTCGACTGATCTTCCCGCATTGCTTTGAAAACGTTGAACTTGCCATCGTGCCATTTCGCCAAATGTCTTCTAGGTCTTACGACCGTCACATTATTGGGTGCCATCTGTGTGCCAACTTCATGAAGAGCTTCACCGAGTTCACTTGCATTATGACTGTTGATGCTCCTACTCGCAACCGCCCCCATGATTGCGCCACCGAGAACGACAGTTTCGGTTTTGTCGTCGGCTCCAACTATCCAGACATCGAGGCCTGTCACGTCGGCATGCGCCTGCACATACAATGGATTCTTACTCAAGCCTCCGCACATATGGATGCGCGATATTTCATGTAGTCCGTTGTCTCTCATTCTCTCGAGGATTTCTCGTGCCTCATACGCAACAGAGTGTATAGCCAAAAGGTAATCCGCCGCAATAGTGAGAAGTCGGGAGGGATCCAATTTATCGAACGCACTCAGAGGTTGGTGCTCATCAGCCTTTCCATTCACTGCACCAGTACTCGGAAAGACGCCCACCGACTGAAAACAAAGACTTCCCTCAGAATGCATACGGCTGCCAAGAATGAACGGCAAGACGTGCCTGTCAGCTAAAGTCCCGAGGATATCTGCCTCCCGCGTCTCGGAATGCATGATAAACTTCGTGACGTCGCGATGCTTCGTGGCGAGACCTGCTGGCTCAGCGGTGGATGTCGCGTACTTCAAATCCTTCAGCGCCATGTCTAGCACCAACCCTGCTGCAGACTGCCCTCCCTCTGTCAGGAAATAGCCTGGCAGCACTGCATCTTTGTACGGCCCCCAAACTCCTGGCACAAAGTGCTCCTTCTCGTTCAGCACCATGTGGCAGGCAGAGGTTCCGCAGATCATGCTGAGGACACAGGACTTCGACTGCCCAGCGGCACCCGAGGGTGAGAACGATGCGCCACCCATACCTAACACGCCCAGGACCCCTGCGTGAGCATCAATTATTCCAGCTGCAACTGCGACCCGCGCTGCTCCTCCTAGGCCCCACTCCGACATCCTAAGCTGCGACAGGCTCCCAACACAGGAGCCGATATTCACTACGTCTTTCCCGATCTTTTCGAAATCGTTTTGGGCAAGGATGCCCTCCAAACCCAGAGCGGCAAAGAGATCTCGCTGCCAGCCTTTCTTTGCATCTACGTCGCCTGCAATGTCGTTTGCAACATAAGTCCATTTGCATCCAACCGTGCACACTGACCGCATGTCTCCACTTTTCCCGCCCGTCGCCCACCAAACGAGCCAATCGGAGAGGTCGAAAAGTCGATACACGGTCTTCAAGTCTCCATGACCGTGCATCCAAAGAATCCCACCAGCCCTTTAGGGCGTCGGTGGTTTAACGAGTTTCCTCTTCCACCCCTCCTTCTTCCCCTTCGGGGAGGGGTTTACCCCTCCCCCTACCCCCTCCCCACTGACCTGGACAGGGGGGGCGGGGAGCGGTCAGAGCGTCCAAAACGGCCTCGCCGAGGAAGCCAAAATCATTGATTTTACTAGGGTTTTGGCCCCATTTTGGCCTTCTGAGGGGGCAGCGCTAATTGAAGCTCCCCTCTTCTTTGATCGATTTCCTCCAAGATGGCCCCAAGAAGCGCCCAGGAGGCACCAAGAGGCCCCAAGATGGCTTCAAGATGGCCCCAAGAGGCCCCCAGGATGCCCCCAAGAGGATCCCAAACGGCCCAAAGAGGCCCCCCCGAGGCACCCAAGACGCCGAAAAGCCCCTCAGGACGACCCTCTACTCGCCTGGGCGTCGTTTCTGGACGGGCTGGTGGGGATACGCGAAGCGTCTAGAATTTTAGGCAGCTGCATTTCCATGTTGACAGATCCCCCAACATATCTCAGCGCAGGATGCTTTGTTGCATTGATTATAATTGCCTCCTTCGCTGCACGATGATCCATCCACATAATGATATCAGTGCTGCCGTACGCAGCAGTGTCTACGGCGAACCAAGATTTCATAGACTGCGCGATTTGGGAATCAGGTAAGTCTCTATTGGGCACAACGACGAGGCTGCAAGTCGCGTCAAAGCCAATACCGGCCACGAGGGACGGGTCTAGAGGTCTCTGCCGAGCCGTTGTGTGCTGGCCATCATCTTCGAAAATCGAGCGGATGCACGTGGAGATGGCGTGGCAAATCTCGGCTGATGACTGCTCATACCGATCCTTTCCGCAGTGGTGCACGGTGATCGGGTGCTCCGCAAATCCCAGCTGGTTCCCATGTTCATCGAAAACCCCGGCCCGCGCACTGGATGTGCCAACATCCACGCCGATGTAGAGACTGGTGTCGCCACACGGTGCCGCATCGCTCCCTCCAGCAGCGCTCCCACCAGCCCTCATGGTCGCGCCAGTCCTCAGCAGTCCGTACCTTGAGGTCCGATCTGGGAGCGCACGGCTGCGAAGCTCACTGCCGAACTGGCGTGTTGATGGAGTCTCGTGCCATCTCTTTCTCTCTCTCTCTCTCTCTCTCTCTCTCGCTCTCTCTCTCTCTCTCTCTCTTTATTTTTGTTTCTCCCTCTCTCTCTCTCTCTCTCTCTCTCTCTCTCTAGATATGTACATATATACATATACCCATGCGTCTCTCTCTCTCTCTCTCTCTTTCTCTCCCTCTCGTTTTCTGCTCGTGCCTCCTCTGTCTCGTGTCTCCTGTCTTTCCAGACCTCTCCTATTTGCTGCTTATGCTGGGGGGCCACGGCGCACCCCTCCCACCCCCCACCGCCCAAAACCACCAGGGTGGTAATGTGAACCCCCTGCCCCCCGCCCCCCCCGACCACCACCACCCAGTTTGCCCAATAATTCCCGTCGGGAAGTTACCAGACGACCAAAAAGGACCAAGGGATCCATCACAGCCAAGATGCTGCAAAGGCGGCCCACGCGGGCCCAATAACCAACCGAGAGGGTCCTAAGAAGAACCCGACAAAACAAAATATTGACAAGCGCGCAAATGTTTGTTTCCAAAAATTGTCTCTGGGCCCGCTTTCAATAAAACAACAATTGTTGCTCACCCTTTCCTAGTCCGCATCGATACTGCTCCAGTTTGCCTGCCTGTCCATACCCTGTCTCCTTCTCACCCACCCCCCTCTCGCTGGACCCTGGTTCGGGATGGGGCAACGAATGTTCACCATGCCCTCCCTCCTCCATTCGTTTTCTTCATACATAACTTATCCCTGTCGCACACCGAAGCCAGTTTTTAGGGCGGACCGGGCGATTCGCCTGAGACTTCCTAACCATTCTTCACTCCGAAGCCTAAACATGGACAACAACTTCACAGATGGAGGGCGGGTCGTTTTCAAAATGTGCCTCTCGCCTTAGCGCGGCGCATATTCGTTTTAACAGTTGCAAGAGCTTCACGGACTGAGGGCGGGTCGTTTTCAAAATGTGGCTCTCGCCTGCGCGCGGCGCACATTCGTTTTTTAATTCGTAAGGTTTTCAGGGGTTGAGGGCGGGTTGTTTTCAAAATGTTGCTCTCGCCTTAGCGCGGCGTACATTCGCATTAAAAATTT